GGTTCGGGGATAGGAAAATGGTCACATGAAGCAAAGGACTGACTGAAGGAATAGTCTGGGCCCCGAGGCTATTCCATTGTGGCAGCTCTGTTGTATTTTCAAGCTACTGTTGCTGTATTTATTTATATATTAGGAAATGTATTTTGGAAACTGTCTGGGAGGGTGAAATATTGTTTAAACAATGTTGTCTCTCTGTGTCTCTCTGTGTCTCTGCTTCTGTCTGTCTGTGACACTAACCTCACATCTCTGTGTCACTAACTCCTGATCACTGAGTCACTAACCACTAATCACTAACCGACCAGTAAGTGATTGGAAGAGTTAGATTATCGAGTCTCTTTGGGGTATTGTTTAAAGTTCAATAATACAGTAATTTTGGATATTGTGAATTGTTTTTTCTCTCTTAAATATTTCTTATCTCTGGGCTTTGGACCTAGTATTACCGGTCATCTCAAGTGTTGCTCCTTCATTGGTTGATGGAAGGGAAGGAGGCCATTTTCGCCCAGCCAATGGCAGTCTACCTCACACTGTCCTCACGACCCTCACGGTGTCAACCACTCAACCATAACAACATCTGCAAATTTAACCCCAAAAAATATCTTCCTCCTATATACGCCCTCGGCGCATCAATTCTCTGCGGACAAAACCAATCTCTTGGGGCAGGAGAGAGGGGGATGTGAGGCGTCCCGCGCGCCTCATAAACTTGTACTAGACCCTCATACTCATAGTATTTGTCGGCCACAACCGGCGCTGTGAGGCGGCCGTCCCGTGGATGACCCATGGATGACCCTTGGATGACCTCTGGCCAACAATGGAATCGCCGCAGCCAGTCTAGCCGGAAAAAGGAATTCTTTATCCTGCGTCCGGGAATATCCAAGCTGAATTGATTTATGATCTGCATGAGAAAAGCTCTCGTGCGTGCTGGAGAGTTTGAGGAGGAGAGCCGGTTCTTGCGAGGCGCTCATCGCCTCCCTAGACACCCTTCAATTTGCTTCTCCTTACCACAGAGTCGAGGATGTGCATTTCACAGAGGAAATATGAAGGTCTTGGGAGGTGTGGGGGGTATAGTCTCCAGCACCGCCACTACTCTACGTCACGTCAAGTATACACCAGACTCATAGATATGCTGCCCTCAGAGGTATACACGGGGAACAGTATACCTGCTCTGGTTTACACAAAAGCTCTACTCTATGCCATTTTCATCTTGCTATCAGCAACGTAAATTTATATTCATTGAGATTGTATTTTGTATTTACATACACAATACAAAATATATCGTATATTTACTTACTAAATCACTTACTCTATAGAGTAGGATACACTAGAGAATTGATTACCAGTATAGAGTCAATTACATTATATACTTAATTTAGGTGAAGTCAATAATACTATTGAGTTTAGATGTATTGTGGTAAATGGGAGCTGCTTATATCCCTCTCTTTATATGTCTGTGGTTGTTTAATGTGTGTTTGTCCATCCTGGTTTTTATATATTCCTGTTTTTGTTGGTGTGTGTATGTATGTATGTATGTATGTATGTATGTATGTATGTATGTATGTATGTATGTATGTATGTATGTATGTATGTATGTATGCATGCATGCATGCATGAATGTATGTATGTAAGTATGTATGTATGTATGTATGTATGTATGTATGTATGTATGTATGTATGTATGTATGTATGTATGTATGTATGTATGTATGTATGTATGTATGTATGCATGCATGCATGAATGTATGTATGTAAGTATGTATGTATGTATGTATGCATGTACTCAACTAATTGTGCTTGCGGTGGCTGAGCTTTGGCTCTTTGGTCCCGCTTCTCAACCGTCAATCAACAGGTGTACAGGTTATTGAGCCTATTGGGCTCTATCATATCTACACTTGAAACTGTGTATGGAGTCAGCCTCCATAACATCACTTCCTAATGCATTCCATTTGTCAACCACTCTGACACTAAAAACGTTCTTTCTAATATCTCTGTGCCTCATTTAGGCACTCAGTTTCCACTTGTGTCCCCTAGTGCGTGTGCCCTTTGAGTTAAATAGCCTGTCTTTATCTACCCTATCAATTCCCTTGAGAATCTTGAATATGGTGATCATGTCCCCCCTAACTCTTCTGTCTTCCAGCGAAGTGAGGTTAAATTCCCGTAGTCTTTCCTCGTAGCTTATACCTCTCAGCTCGGGTACTAGTCTGGTGTCAAACCTTTGAACCTTTTCCAGTTTGGTCTTATCATTGACTAGATATGGACTCCATGCTGGGGCTGCATACACCAGGATTGGTCTGACATATGTGGTATACAAAGTTCTGAATGATTCCTTACACAAGTTTCTGAATGCCGTTCGTATGTTGGCCAGCCTGGCATATGCTGCTGATGCGCATATGCCGCTCTTGATATGGGCTGCAGGGGACAGGTCTGTCGTGATGTCAACCCCCAAGCCTTTTTCTCTCTCTGACTCTTGAAGAATTTCATCTCCCAGATGATACCTAGTATGTGG